AAAATTGCCCCTCTTGGTTGTAAAAGAATGGAAACGACTTTGCTGAAGTTTTCAATAAAGGATATTATTTAAATATAGCCTCTATATAAAATCCATTATTTTTATTTTTTTATGGTTTTTGGCACAATTTCTCAACAATGTGGCAGTAGTTTGACATTCTAGGTACTTGCAGAGATCCATGTTTTGCTGTATTCCCCATATAAAGGGCCTGCCCCATTTTCGATATTGTGATGGCCTTCGAGGCATATACGGGCCATAGTGTCTGTAATTTGACATTCCGTTTTCGTCGTGATATATAAACATCTTTGTAGGAAATTGTCTATAAATATCCATGTTTTGACATATCTCGGCAACGAAATTTATCTATTTGCATATTCCTAGTGCCAATTCGAGAAGGTGGAAAACCTTCCTGAAGAACTTTTTCATTATATTTGGAATCGGCACGGCTGAAGTTTACAATATTTTTAAGTGTTCTATTTATGCGTGTCATCAGACAAATTTATTTGAGTGTACACAATATGATTCTATACATTTCTATTCCACACATGTATACAATGAGAAAATAGTTTTGGTCATTAAAATTATGTCGGCATTTCTTTTAATTTTTCATTATTTCTCCGGTTTTTTTGTGTGTGTGTGCTTCCGTTTTTTCGAAAGTTGTTGTTTATTTTTCTTCACACCTGCAGAATGTCTTAATAAATGTTGTTTAATTTTTCATTATCGACAATAATTATGCTATATACATGTATATTGAAAATTTTTTGTTTATTTTTTTAAATATCAATTATGTAGCTTTTTATGATTATTAGGAACACTAAAAATGGTGTATGTGTGCTGAATATACGCTAAATATATCTTGTATGTGAAACGAACCAAAAAATTTACCTATTTTTAATTCATTTTATTAATATAAGATATTAATCCTAATTGGTATGGGTAATGTTTATTATTCAATCATATTTTTCTGCGCTTGCCATTGTGATGAATACGTTTTATTAATTGAAGGTAAATAAAGTATACGCTCCCTGTAGAGATTTTTAACGACATTGACTTGGTAAACATGTGTGTGTGTGTGTGGGTAAATGGGGGTTTATTGCTTTTTGTTGTTCTTTGTGGTAAAAATTGATACAAAATGGTTTGTTGTGTATAATGCAATAAATTACATGGTGTGTAATTAATTATAATTTTTAAGCGCCAACTGTGTAAAGCAAATTGTTTCTATAACCCCAGCTGTTTTTACAGAAAAAATATTTATTGTTTTACATACAAAAATAACAGAAAATTATAGGTGATGATATCTTTGCTTACATTAGAAGGACGTTATTATATGAATATAGTGATAGATTTATTGCTTGTTGCATGACGATGGGTCAACGATTTGGGAATTTTTGGAAGCGAACTATTTCAAGGTGAACGAATGAAAACAAGCACATATTCATGCACTGTTAACAAATTGTAGCACATATTATTGTTTATATCAGAAAAGAGGGCTACATTTAAAGCTCCGTTTTGTTCGATTACACTCGTGGGTGGAAGTATTCGAAATTTACGAGAGTTCCAATAGGTTTACTTCCTACAATTTTGTTTATGTAGAAGTGTTCCCGAGTACTCCTTGTTTAAAAATTAGAGCGGATGTCAAAATTTTCCAATCAGGAGTGAGAGGCTTCCATATTCAACTTCCAGACCGCATTTTCAGACTTCTTTATCATACAGGCTTTATCCATGGCGGCAAAGCCTTTTTTGCTCAATTCCCTCTACATTATTGGCAACAAAATCTTCTTTTGATTGGTAATCTTTGTCCACAGGCTCCAACTTCCTGGACGATTTACCAGGATTTATAACTGCAATCTTCATGACCGGTACCTCTATAATTAACAGCCTTTGCATACAAACCCAACCATAAAAAGAACGATGGGGTGGCTGATGCGGAGAAACGCATCAACCACCCCATCGTTTTTTTTCCACGGCCAACTCGACTGGAGCTATTTCCTGTGTCAATGGAATATTACTGTGAACAAATGGAATAATACTTACTTGCCGATCCTTTTTGTTATTTGCAACCATTCGTATGGCCAACTGATCACGTTCTGCCTCTGCTGATCGACGGTTCTTCTCCGAAAGATCCAGTTTTTTCAAAAGATTCATTTTCCCTTCTTCCCAGGATTTTTCTGTTGCCTGGGCATTCTCTGCAGCCGCAACCAATTCACCTTTAAGCTTGAGATCTTGAAAGTACAATTCAATGTATGTATCTCTTGCCTTTTTATAACTTGCCTGTGCCCTTTCTTTAAGGCAACCATTGGCGTCTTCCGATCTTTTAAGAGCAACTTCTAGCTCTTTATACCTTGCCCGTAACTCCGCCACGTCACGGACTAAAGACAACTTTGCATAGAGTTGTCTTTTGTTAAATTCATCCCATATAAGGGTACACCTCAATTTTCGGGATTCTGGGGTTCTTGAGCGCGTTTTTCAATCGAATTTGCTGAAATATAGTACATTGAGTTCTTATTAGATACCAAATTTCTGCACAAAATATTATAAATATAAGTCCACTTTTTATGGTAGCCCCCAAAGAACGGTACCCCTCAATTTTCGATATTTCGGGGTTGCTGGGCTCGCTTTTCAACCAAATTTGGTATAACTGGTTCTTATTGGGTACCAATATTCTCCACTAAAAATTATAAATATAGTTCGACTTTTTCTGATAGCCTTCATATAACGGTACCCTTTTCGACATTTTGGTATTCTTAAGTGTGTTTTTTAACCAAATTCGCTGAAATTTAGTACAATGGGTTCATATTATGTTCCAATAGTTTCGCGTTTTGATGTTGTCTCCATATATCTGTATCCCACCATAGAGCGGGGACATTCTGTACACGAAATTGTCTGTTTATACCCTACATAGTGTTGAATTCTAAGACGATTTAGTCGATCTAGCAATCTGTTGTAATCATTTTTCCTTAAAAAGAAGTAGAACGTTAGGTTTAAGAATGAATGATATATAAAACACCCTACCGATTTAAATTTGACCGCGAAGGAAGATATTGGTATACAAAACTAAAATATTACCTTGAACTTGAGCTATATCGGTCCTTAATTCGACATAACCCCTAATATAATGAAAAGATTAGGGAAGAAGAAGTAAAAACGTAGTGAGTTCGAACAGTGCTAAATTGGTATACTCTTCACCGTATGGTCCTTTATTCGGTAGGAGCCTTTCTATGGTAATTTATATATCTGAGAAAACTAGCTACAAAACGTTATCGTTTTATTAAATAATTCAAAAATGCCGGAATATCAAAGTCACATCGATGTGCAAAATGCATATAAAATCTCTAAAATATCACGAATGGACATATATTGAAATTTTTCAACAAACAATTTTTCACCTTCAAAATTTCAGAGTGCAAATTATAGCCTCTTCGGAAAAATATTCGGACAATAATTTTTGCAAATATATTGTTCACCCTCTACGAACCCATAATACGAATTTTTAGCCAGTTTAATGGCTAAAATATTGAAAATGTGCAGAAAACATTCAAAATAACATAAACACGGGCCTATACAGAAAACTTTCTGCAAATATGGTTTTTACCCTGCGGTATCCCAGAATACCACATAACGCCCACGACGATGGTAAATCTCGCCTAAAGGTTTCAAAATACCGAACCTGGAGTGGATATGGTTGTTATACCAAACCTTTACCCATATATCCCATTTGCAATGCCAAACATCCAAGAAATAGTAAGACAACCGAGGTGGGTATTCCAAAAACTTTCTGGATTCCTAAAAATTGACCCCAGAGTATTTTTGTCCTCTGATAATAATTATGTACAAATTTTCAGTATGGATAATTTAGCTAGGACCTTCAGCATACCAATAAATGTGCAAATACCTTTATGTGGCGGTAATGAAATTGACCATCTAACCCCCTATATACTTATTTATTGCTTTATCCAAGATGTTTTACTCTTCAAATTATAAAAAACGATTGAAAACATTTTAAAATTGGAAACTATTAAAAATTAATTTATCTAATCCTAATTTATGAGAGTAGCTAACACTTGACACCTGCAAAACTAAATTTTCCATAACCAAAGGCGGCTGTCATAATGGAATGTTAATTCATAATAATGAATAGACATACCTATGTATATACGTGTGTGTATGCTTCTCTTTATATATTTTGTTCTTAGCATTAAATTTATGTCATAGCATTTTTTTTTAAGTGGGGACCAACCATTTCCCTCCAAAAGAACACCATAAAAATCTAATGGCAATTTCATATCGAATAAAATGAGAAATACGCACAATTTCGTCCACACCTCTGTCATATCATTTCGACATATATATTTTTTTTAAATATTTTAAAATGGATTTGCTTGGAAATTAATTTATTTATTTTTTGTGGTTTTTTGTAAACAAAAAGCAAAAATAAGAAAAACTTCTAGCATTTCCTTATTAAAAAACACACGGGGCTTTCGTTGTCGGTGTGTCAGATGAACGTTTGAACAAAAAATAAAAAAATAAACTAATTTTCCTTCCAAGCATTAAAAAAATCGACGACGAAGACGAGACGAAAATTCACAACCTTTTTAATTTATTGGAATTGCTGAAAGAGCAACAAAAGATTTAGGAAAATAAAAAATAGCTACAATCAGAGCACGGTGACGTGACTTTGTATGGGAAGAAACCAAAGAAACAAAAAACTGTTTTGTTTTTTTGTATATTGATCAGTACGTTTAGCAAATTAGTTTATTTACAACACTCCTGCCACAAAGAAGGAACACGATTTTGTAGTTTTCTTTACGAGTTTCATTTTTAATTTGCAAAATATTATTGATTTAAGTGTTTCGATTAATAGACCATGTTGTCATATAATAGGCCATGGAATCAGTGTAAATGGAGAAGGCAAATGAAATATAACTTTTTTTTAATTTTTTGCTTGTAACTTATTTATGTTTTTTGTATTTACAATAATTGTTTGATTTTCTTATTTACAGATTGGATCGAAAGTCATCACGTGGCATGGTCTATGAGAATGAAGAACTAAGATTACGTACCATCAATATTAATGCTGAAGTTGAAAGAGGTAAGTCCATATTTTGTTTTAATATCCAAAAGATTCCCGTTTTTGGCACGTTTTCTAATTATTATTTTCTTTGAACTAACTTCATAACTTCATATAACAACAGCGAAATAAACTCCACTGCTATTTAAGTGGAAAATTCGGAAAGTATCATAATATTTCGGGGTAATGTCTTAATGTGAATCGATACAGATCATTTTCGAAACTGACGTCTCTGTTTTGAATACAGGGTTGCCCATATTCGACGGACCCGTGTTTTTTTTTTCAAATCAAAGAAAAAAAATAAAAATTTGGCGGTTGGCAATGTTAATCATTAAATTTGTTCCAAGTAGATTTGTTTACATCAATTTTTGAATATGTTATCTCTCAAATGGCCGCCTCTGGCGTTGATGACGTATTGTGGCCTTTTTGCTGCATTTTTCATCGTTTCTGCCAACATTTCGGCCGGAATAGCAGCTATTTCTTCACGAATGTTTTCCTTGAGCTCTTCTACGGTCCTTGGCTTGTTAAGGTAAACCTTTGACTTCAAATATCCCCACAAGAAGAAGTCAGGCGGCGTCGAATCGGGCGAACGCGGTGGTCAGTCCAAATCACCACATTTCGACATCAAACCGCCCGGAAACAAATTCTTCTTCAGAAAATCGATTGTTATGCGACTTGTGTGCGGTGAAGCGCCGTCTTGTTGAAACCAGAACTGCCTCATACGCTTTCGACGAATAATTGGCATCACAAAATTGGTCATCATGTCGCGATAACGCTCCCGAATGATGGTAACAGCATGGCCATTTTCAATTTGGAAGAAAAACGGCCCAATGACCGTTTTCGCACTAACGCCGCACCAAATTTTGACGGCAATTTTGCTTATTTACGGTCCCATTTAATGTAAAATGGGCTTCATCGGACACGATAATTTTGTTCCAAAATTGCTCATCATCTTCGGCCATTTCGATGATTCATTCATTCCAATCGACGAGGCTTGTCCGAAGGCAACATTCTTTGCGTCAATTGAATTTTGTACGTGAACAAATACAAATCAATGCAAATAATCCGTTGTAAAGTGGACCGAGCTATGCCCAACTGCTAAGAACGGCGTTTTGATCAGTAAGGAAAGTGTAAAGTCGGGCTGGTTACCTTATATCTATATCTCGTTCGGATTTCAAGCAAATTCTGGCCGATCGCCTTAGTCAATCGAACTTTTATATGGCCTCTTCGGATACAATTTGCTTAAAACCATCATATCATTCGAAAATTGTTCGTATAAACGCTTAATGGTGTTCTCAGAAGGCGCACTTCTCACATTTTTTAATGTTTTAAAAGCACGTTGAGTTTTCACAATTGACTTCTTCTGTTGAATGTAAGTTTTAACTATTTCAGAGCGCCCGCGTGGCGTGTATTGGTTCATGGTAAAAATCTGCTTGAACTGACGCTTCAAACGCGGTATATCATTAAGCGATGTGACATATCTGTCAAAAGTTATGACGTTGCCAGATGGGTCCGTCGAATATGGGCAACTCTGTACTGATCCTATATGGGGGCTATATCTAAATCTGAACCGATTTCTACAAAACTTCGTATACATAAATATGAACCTATTTCAATACGGTATGCAAAATTTTGTATTAATCCGACAAATATTGGCAGTTTGACGCATTATTTAGATAAAATCGGACGAAAATATATATGGGAGCTACATCTAAATCTGAACTAATTTTCACGAAACTTAGCACACATCATTCTAGACTTAATTCAGTTCGGTGTTCCAAATTTTGTGCAAATCGAAAGATATATAGGGACTGTGCTTCTACATTTACATTAAATCGGACGTAATTATATATGAGAGCTATATCTAAATCTGAACCGATTTTTCTCCAATTTCAATGGAGTTTGTCATTGTGCCAATAAATAAGTTTGTGAAACGGATTTGGCCCAAAAAAACGGTTGGAAAACTCGCATAAACACCCAAAATATCGAATATTTTTGGGGGAAACTCTTATATGGAAGTTATGCCTATATAGCCCATATTCAAACTCTGCCTGCAGACAAATTTTTAGCTATCTATCGCAATTCGTTTAGAGACTAGAGTGATTAAATTTTTAATTTTTTATCAATACTAGCTAGAAGAAGGCCTGGATGCCAGAGCCCCTCGATAGGATTTTTTTCACAATAAATGTAAAAAAGAATAATGATATCCTGTATAAACGTTTATTCTATGTTGCAAAATTGAACTTATTGCAAAAGAAAATAGTAATTCCGGTCCGGTCTTGCGATCATTCCTCGTCCTTCAAGTATATACTGAACTTCATTAATCTTCATATTGTTTATATATTTCAGGACAATCGGATATCAAACGTTTACGCAAAGAAAATGATCACTTACGGCGAGAAATCTGGTCGCTGCGTGATGAATATGATCGGCTTAACAAGAGGTTTAAGAGTAAATTTATTGAGGCAGAACAGGCGGCACGATGCAGTCAGGGCGGCTGTTCGTGTCAGTGCAATGAGGGCGGGTGTGATTTGGCACACTCGAAATGTAATAGTGAGGTAAGAATAATAACAGCACAAAATATTTATTTTATTTATTAATTGGTTGTAACATTTAAGGATTCCGATTCCTGTGATTCCTGCTGTTGCCAAGAAACCGAAGAGATCGTCTGCAACGATGAATGTTGCAGTGAAAAGAAAATTATGGCAGCGAACGATGCCGCCGAAGATCCCTCACCTACGGATAGTACAAAATTAGCGGTTATTGATGGTATGTCATCCACACCGCCACCACCACAATCTGCTATGCCAAGCATTCTAACGGGTATCGATCATTTGTCCGTAGTATCGGAAGAAACCCTTAGCAATAGTGATGTGGCAAATGTCAATCCAGGACATTTGTTGGGCTATACACCGAGTATAAGTGGTTCTCAGACAACATTGCCTAGTTTAGTGGGCCCACTTACACCGTTGACACCCATTGAATTGGTGGCCAATGAGTTGAATGATATACAGGCGAAGGTACCGCCACTGTCGTATTTCGAAAATGTTTTACAACAACATATGAATACCAATTTAAGTGAGTTAACAACATTTTTATTATGTTCATATAATATTTAAATATTTTTCTATCTTTTCTATAGCCAGCAGTTCGGGAACATCTTCCTCAAAAAGTGGCAAAACTGTAATACGCCACACCAATGGCTGGGACTATAACTTAGAATCGCCATTTTTACAAAAACATTACCCCGCGAATTCGGTATCACCTCTGCTGCAAAAACGTTCAACGGCACAAACACTGACCACATTTGTACCTACAACCACTGTAACACCACCACCTCCTCCCCCATCAGTCCAGCCATCAACTCTGACAACAGAAAATGGGAAATCGGTTATATCGACAACTATCGTCAATAGTTCCAGCGAGATTCCAGTTATCGAAACAGTTCCCATAACCACAATGTCAGTCAATGGTCCATGTGGCGGTGTTCAAACTGTGCCAACTGGCAACACCACAAATTCAAGTGGCTGCCTGAATAGCAACCAAAACAACATAGCCGCCAGCATCGATGGCAGTGAGCAACCGGCAAAACATTTCTTTGCACCCATCAAACCTAAATTAAAATTGAACACCGCCTTGGCTAATCAAAGGCGTCAGCCACCTCCACCACCACCGCCGGCTGTTGTAACGGCACCAATACCACCCACAGTGCCAGTGCCCAGCATGGCCCCGTTAAACAAAGCCCCCTCATTTACAAATGGTGTCATGGGATGCAGCAGCAGTACCAGCATCACGACCAGCAGCAACAGTCAGCAACTGAAATGTGAACCACCTGACATTTACGTGACCAATGGTCTGGCAACTCCCTACAAACATCCACTGAAACCAAGTGTACAACCACCACCGGTACCGCAGCGTATTACATCTATGGCCACATCAGCACAAGTAAGTTTGTCACCGCCACGACAAAGGCGTAAATCAAGGCAATGTCAATCTAATCTACAAGTACAAGAACAACAACATCATCATCAGCAGCACCACCACCACTACCATCACCAGCATTTACACCAACACATACCTCAGTATCAGCATCAGCTTCATGGTTGGCAAAACCATGAGGCCAATGCTAATAATGAAGTTTGTGTTGTTGGTCCTGCAACAGCAACCACAACAACTACTAACCAAACTGCTTTCGCTTCTACTGACATCAGTGATGGCATCGCCACCGCCACATCCACCTCCACGTTCTGTTTATTTGCTCCGGCAAGTTTGCGAACAACGCTTACAAATGCTCTTTTAGCTACTAACATTTTATGCAATTCATTAAAAGTAACAATAGCCGCCTCTGACTCAGCATCACCAACAAAAAGAACAATGCCAACAGATTCGAATAGCTACTCCGCCGCCTGTTCCTCCACCACCTCGAATTGTTTGACAGCCGAACCTGTTACATGCCTGCCAGCCGCATTGGCCTCTTTTAGATTTATAAATCCAAATATTAGCGTGATCAAACCCAATGGCCCCGTTTATGCAATCGCACAAAATGTTTGTCATAACTTAATAATTGCTCCCGCTGTTCGGCAACCTTTGATGTCGTCCATTGTTAAATGTTGTCCGTCAACAATTACAACACCCAAAAAGCTGATGTCACCGACAGCAACACGAACATCGTCCATCGAATCATTGGCAGTAGCAACAGTCAAGCCAACAACAATAAAGGTAACATCGTCAGCAACGGCAACAACAGCATCATCGTTACCAGCATGTGTTGTTGTTCCGCCCCGTGTATCGTGCTGTGCATCTGTTAGCACTCTTTCAAAATCAACAGATTCCACACGGATAACCACATCAGTGAATTGCTTTGTTGTGGACTCTGTGTGCCAGGTGAGGTTTACAAATATGCGTGCCAGTCAGGACAGCATACATATTGTTGATACAACCATATATTCAAAATTGTACGCCATGTAATTTATTGGCTACAGAAATATCAACAATTGGAAATTAAATTATATTATTGTTTTTTTTTTACGACAATGGAATATATTAAACCTTGCGAGAATAGGGGATCTTCCAATTAATTTCTACAGACAGGATGATCCATAGGTATTATAAAATTATCTTTTAGGGTTAATTGATATATGTTATGTTCTTCTATAGGTGGAAGACATTTTAAAGATCGGCGATATATAGAAACCCTTTCACATGGTCTTCCATAGGACTAAATTCTGACAAAGGGGTTTCCGTAGACAGAATACATGAAAAAGTTACTCCAGTGACCTGAAGCCGACAATTTTAAATTATTATACAAGCAAAATACCGTTAATAAGTCTACAGACCCTATTTCCTCTAAAGTCCTTCCTTGAACTGTTAGAATACTATCAGCAGGTCTCCCATAAACAGAAGAACACCTACATATATTTTACACACAGAAAAATCGGTTCAGATTTAGATATAGCTCCCACATATAGTTTCGCCCGATTTTAGGTAAATGGTATGCCAAAGTCCCTATATATCTACCGATTTGCATGAAATTTGGTATAGCATACTGGATTGAGTCTAGAATGATGTGTGTAAAATTTCTTGAAAATCGGTCCATATTTGGATATAGCTCCCATATACAGTTTCGCCCGATTTTATGTAAAAGGTGCACCAAAGTCCCTGAAAATCATACGATTTGCACGAATTTTGGCATAGCGTACTGAATTATGTATAGAATCACGTGTGTTAAGTCTCGTGAAAATCGGTTCAGATTTAGATATAGCTCCCATATATAGTTTCGCCCGATTTTAGGTAAATTGTATGCCAAAGTCCCTATAAATCTTCCGATTTGCATGAAATTTGGCATAGCGTACTGAATTAAGTCTAGAATAACATGTGCAAAGTCTCGTGAAAATCGGTTCAGATTTATATATAGCTCCCATATATATATATATAGCTCGCCCGATTTTAGGTAAATGGTATGCCAAAGTTCCTATATATCCTTCGATTTCCATGAAATTTGGCATAGTGTACTGAATTAAGCCTAAAATGATGTGTGTTAAATTTAATGAAAATCGGTTCATATTTGGATATAGCTCCCATATATATTTTCGCCCGATTTAATGTAAATGGTTCACCAAAGTCCCTATATATCCTTCGATTTCCATGAAATTTGGTATAGCGCACTGAATTGAGTCTAGAGTGATATGTGTAAAATTTCTTGAAAATCGGTTCAGATTTAGATATATCTCCCATATATATGTTCGCCCGATATAATGTTAATGATATACCAAAGTCCCTACATATCAAAAATTGGCATAGCATACTGCATTGAGTCTAGAATGATGTGTGTAAAATTTTTTGAAAATCGGTTCAGATTTAGATATAGCTCTCATATATATGAGAGCTATATCTATATATATCCCGATAAAATGTAAATGGTTCACCAAAGTCCCTATATATCTTTTGGTTTAAGAATTGATTTCGTATGTTGAAATCCTATTTTTTTCGAATTTTGTCAAGGTTTATGGATATGACCTATAAAAACCATAACGATTCGTTTTCGAGGAGTACGTTATTAACATAAATGCTATCATTACTTGCATGTAATTCCTTAATAAATTAATTAGCTTCTAAAAAGAAATGACACATTTTCTTAAATTTAACCCCACAATAATATCATTTGCACATAACCACTTTTAATTTCTTCATAGTCTTTATAGCTAATATTATTACAAATTCCGCAATTATCCTTCCAGACTGATTCAGCAAATTTGGAATCAATACTTAATGACATTGAAGCTATTTCCGAAGACATTTTAGCAATACAATTGGAAAAAACAAAATCTCGAGATCATTTAGAAACGAGGTCAACAGAAAATGTTTCACGCAGCAGATGTGCCGATATGCAGCAAGGCAATAAAAATTCCAAACCTTATAGATCGGAAATGAATTTATTATTATCATATGATGGTGATAATCCAACCATAAGACCAGCTGTACCCAATTCCAATAGTACTACAACGGAAAATGGCGCCGAGAATGCAACAAGAAGAACTAGATCTTTAGAGAGAGATCATACAGATAGTCCATCACCACGTATACCTGATCCGATGCAACCATTTCCAGATAATCGTAAATATATAGGATTTGAACATTTAAATAATGCTGCAATTGGAGGACCACCACCACCACCAACAACGTTGGCAATCTCAACGGCAACAGTTAGCACATCCCTAACACCGCGGCTGGCTGTAACGGGGACCCAAACATCACCGACAATAACCACCCCCATGGGACACAGGTCACATTTACCCTTATCACCGTTGGTGACAAATGTTAACATACCAATGCAAAATGCGGGAGTAAAGCCAGCACCACCAGCCAGACAATATCCTACACCACTAAACATAAAATGTGCTGGCATTCAGAGAAGTTCATCGGTTTCCTATAAATCAAATGCAATGAATTCCCCAACTAGTGGTTCACCCATTCTAAGTGGTGTTCATCCGAATAAAAGTCAATTATTTTCAGCAATAGCAAATGCTGCTGCTGCCCGCAGAGCTCAATTTCGATCTCAACCGACACATATGACTAGATCATTGGATACCGATTGTCTATTGGAGAGTCCTAACGAGGGAGCAGATGCAATTAGTAATGTGGAAGAAAAGGAGGTAAGTGAACAAATAGTTTTTTATTAGAAATTATAAAATCGAAGAACTAGACATATAAGCGTTGATTTTGTAAAGAAAATTATTGAAGGATTAATAAACTCATAGGCGTGATTTTTTTTTTTCAAATAATTTCGAAGGATAACAGATTCATAACTGTGGATTTTCTACAAAGTTTTTCGAACATTGATTTGTTTGAAGAATATTTTCGGAGAACTATCAGACCTATAAGAGTAGATATTTTGAAGACTATTTTCGAACAAGTATATACTTCACAAAATCCACGCATATAGGTCAATGCTTGAATTTTTTGAATTATATTTTCAAAGAAATATCAGACCTATAAGCGTGGTTTTTAACGAATAATTTCCCAAAATTAGCAATCCCATAAGTGTGGATTTGTTTTCAGATTATTTAAGGAGATTTAACATACCCATAAACGTGGACTTTTATTCGAATGAATAGCAAACCCATAAGCGTGTATTCCCAAGGAGCGATTTTCTAAAAATATTTTTCTCAAGGGCCGTGAATTTTTATACCCTCTACCATAAGGTGGAGTGTATATTAAGTTTGTCATTCCGTTTGCAACATATTTTCCCAGGGACCATAGACGTGGATTTTTACATAATATTTTTTTTTTTTATAACCATAGCCGTAAATTGAATCAAAATAATTTTTCCCTTTAAAAAATAAAATTCAAAAAAAAATATTCAGAAACTAAAGAAAACAATTTTTTTTAAATGCTACGTGCCTAAAATATTATTTATAAATGCCATATTTTTCATCATTTTTCAGATAACTGAAACAACCAAACGAAAACCACGTCGTGTATCGATTGTATGTGCTGACACACCGGCTGATACACCTGCCACACCTGGTGATAAGCCCACACCAACTGTCCGTACCATACAGACGCAAAATTCATCGACGACATCAACATCAGGCAGCTGTTCCGATTTGCCCACTGTTATGCCAAATCCTGCCTTAAGAAATTTCAAACAAACCAGCCATAGTACACCAAATTCACCACATTCCTCTCGTAAACATGAGGGCTCACCGTTTAGTACGTCAACCCAACCGCCCACAATTTCAATAACACCAACGAGTCCCTTGCACCAGCAACATGGCCGGTCGAGTTCTACGCATGGTAATGGATCGCCACATCATCATCAGCATTCGCACAGCAATAGTTATCCAAATGCGGTGGCAACAATGCAATGCCATCCACAACAACTGCGAAAAAATAGTCAAGATACCATAAAGGCAAGTGCCGCTGAAATTGCATGCGCCGCTGCCAATGTGGTGCGTTCGAAATGTTCGCGACGTCACTCCGAGGGTACGGTTTCACATTCGAATCAGCGCAGCAGTGGCACAAGCGGAGGCACTAATGGCGGCCATCATCATGGCCATCATAATCATCATCACCACCAGCATAGTTCATCAATTGTTAGCAATACCAACCCGCATCACAGTCGTCATTCGCATCAGGACAGCAATCATGAGACGGTGGCCTCATGTTCGGATCGTAATTCAAACAGTTTAGCCTCCTCGCGTGAATCATCGGCCAGCTTCAGTATGCGCTCCACCAGGCGGAAGCTGTCGGTTAGTTCCAATACGGGTGGCAAAATACCTTGGTGTGGTTGCTGGGGCAACGGATGTTTGTGAAAACTGTTGTACATGTTGGTCATGGCAAGGCATGGCGTGGTAATGACGGTGCGGGTGTTTGCGTTTGGCGGATTCAACAAGGCTTAGCTCCTACACGCCGTTGTAATTTTCAAATTGAAAGGAAGTCGTGATGCATTCAAATGCAGCTTAGCATTTTTCTGTGCAAATTTCTTGTGAATGGATTTCAAAGAGCCAACACCGAACAAGCGAACAATGAACCAAACAGCCAGCCATTCAGCCTAACAACCGAACAAACAAATAAACATATGAGTTTCAATACCAGTGTATTATGTATGTGTGTGTGTAAATACATCAATAAGAGATTTCTATGTAGTTAGTAAATATATATATGTATTCGTTTTAACTTTATATATACATACACAAACGCCATACACATATTTGTATGTATGAGTGCAAGTGTGTTTGTGTTTGTCATCTTAGTTAAGAATAATTGAAGTAATTTGATTTATATTTATTCATTATTTTTCTATTTATTTTTTTTTACATAAATTTAGTTAAGCATACTGCGTATACGACAAATGTATTCAATTAGAATCAATTAAAGCAAAATGGAAAAAACACAAACAAAGGGAAAATTGTTAACATTAGGGAATTCCAGAATTTTAAATTTGTTTTCTATATACTATATATTATTTATTGAATATTATCAGAATTAGAATTATGTTAAATGCTAGTTATTCATATCGTATATTTTCAAATACGTACTCAACCTATGTACATTTATATAATTTTTTTCTTGTTTCGAAAAGAATGAAAAAGAAATACATAAATAAACTAACAGAATTTGAAAGTTAAAATTTGAAAGAAGAATTTGAAAGTTAAATGAACAACATCAAGGTTTTTTTTTTTATTGAGCGTAGATTTAAAGCGTATACGAATTTTAAAACAATATTTTTCATGGACTGGCAGATCCATTAGCATTGATTATCAGACAAAATAAGCATGGATTTTTATTAAAGAATATTTTTTGAGGATATCAAAAGGCATGGAGTGGATTTTCTCAAGAATATTTTTTAAGGACACCAATTGACGTGGATTTCTTAAAGAATATTTTTTTCAAGAACTCCAATCGGCGTGTATCTCTTAAATAATATTTTTTTCAAGGACTCCAATAAACTTGGATTTCTTAAAGAATATTTTTTCAAGGAATTCTTTCAGGAATATATTTTAAGGGCTCCAATAGGCGTGGATTTATTCAACAATATTTTTTCAAGGACTCCAATTGTCGTGGATTTTTTAAACAATATTTTTTTAAGGACTCCAATAGACGTGAATTCTTTTAGGAATATTTTTAAGGGCTCCAATAGGCTTGGATTAAAAAAAAATTTTTTTAAGGACTCCATTAGGCGTGGATTTTTTATAGAATAATACAAGGACTCGAATAGGTGTGGATTTTTGAAAGAATTATATTTTTCGAGGGCTTCACTAGGCGTGGATTTTTTAAAGAATAATTTTTCGAGGACTTTAATAGGCGTGGATTTTTTTAAGAATATGTTTCAAGGCGTAGATTTTTAAAGAATATGTTTCAAGGCGTAGATTTTTAAAGAATATGTTTCAAGGCGTAGATTTTTAAAGAATATGTTTCAAGGCGCAGATTTTTTAAGAATATGTTTCAAGGCGTAGATTTTTAAAGAATATTTTTTTCAAGGACCCCAATAAGCGTGAATTTTTTAAAGAATATGTTTCAAGGCGTGGATTTTTAAAGAATATGTTCCAAGTCGTGGATTTTTAAAGAATATGTTCCAAGTCGTGGATTTTTAAAAAATATGTATCAAGTTGCGGATTTTTATACCCTTCACCACTCTGTGGTACAGGGTATTATGTCTTTAGGCATATGTTTGTAACAGGCAATAGGAAATGAGATAGACACATGGTTCCTTTTGAGAATATGCATAGAATCACTTTTTAAGACGATCTATGCATGTCCTTCCGTCCGTCCGTCCGTCTGTCTGTTCATGTTAAATTGTGAACAAAGTACAGGTCGCATTTATGATCCGAATTGTATGAAATTTGGCACAACTCATTTGTTTGGCCCAAGGACGAACCCTATTGAAACTGTGAAAAATCAGTTCAGATTTAGATATAGCTCCCATATATATTTTCGTCCGATTTTATGTAAATGGTGTACCAAAGTCCCTATATATCTTTCGATTTGCACGAAATTTGGCACAGCGTACTAAAGTATGTCTAGAATGATGTGTGTTAAGTTTCGGGAAAATCGGTCCAGATTTAGATATAGCTCCCATATATTTTTTCATCCGATTTAATGTAAATGGTGTACCAAAGTCCCTATGTATCATCCGATTTGTATGAAATTTGGTATAGTGTAATGAATTAAGTCGAGAATGATGCATGTTAAGTTTCCTGAAAATATGTCCAGATGTAGATATAGCTCATACGATAATATAAAGCGTATATATCAACATATGCACACATTAATCTAGATTTGTTCTAGATTTAATTTGTTTAAATCGAAGGAAAATATATATGAGAGCTATATGTAAATCTGAACCGATTTTTCCGAAACTTAAGACACACCATTCTAAAGTCAATTCAGTACGCTATGCCAAAATTCGTGCAAATGGAAGGATTTATATTTAATCGGACGAATCTATATATGGGAGCTGTATCTAAATCTGAACCGGTTTTTAAGAAACTTAACACACATAATTTTAGACTTAATTAAGTGCGCTATGCCAAATTTCGTGCAAATCGAAAGATATATAGGGACCATTTACATTAAATCGGACCAAACTATATATGTGAACTATATCTAAATCTGAACGCATTTTCAAAAAATTGAACACACATAATTTTATACCTAATTCAGTACGCATTGCCAAATTTCGTGAAAATCGAAATTTGGCAATTTACCATTTACATTAAATCGGTCGAAAATATATATGGGAGCTATATCTAAATCTGAACCGATTTTCAAGAAATTGTACACATATCGTTTTAGACTTAATACAGTACACTATGCTGAATTTCGTGCAAATCGAAAGATATTTAGGGACTTTGGTGGACGATTTACCTTAAATCGGACGAAAATATATATGGTAGCTATATCTAAATCTGAACTGATTTTCACGAAACTTAGCACACATCATTCTAAGCTTAATTCAGTACGTTGTGCCAAATTTCGTTAAAATCGAAAGCTATATAGGGATTTTGGTGCACCATTCACCTTAAATCGGACGAAAATATATATGGGAGCTATATCGAAATCTGAATCGATTTTTCCAAATTTCAATAGGTCCTTGTGCCAAATGAATGAGCTGTGCCCAATTTCATCCAATTCGAATAATAAATGCGACCTGTACTTTGTTCACAATTTAAAGTGGACAGACAGATGGACGGACAGACATGCATAAATCGACTTAGAAAGTGATTCTATGCATATTCTGAAAAGGAATATGCCTGTTACAAACATATGCCCAAATACATAATATCCTGTACCACAGTGTGGTGAAGGGTACAAAAATATTTGTTCAAGGACAAGAATAGGTGTGATTTTTTTAGAGAATAGGCGTGCATTTCTTAAAGATTTCAAGGATTACAAGGATTTTAGTGGGTGTGCATTTTCGAACGTGTCGCCACATTCTTTTGTTAGATATTTAATATTCCTGCAATTTCACTGTCCTTCTCAAAAAATGGAAAACGTCAATTTAATAGACTAAATATCGAATGCTATGCATAGCGGAATGGCAATTGTATTATTTACAGCCATAAACATAATACTTCTGGTTTTGAACACGAAACAAACAAAAAATCTACAATTTGTGGTTACGTTATTTTATATCCTGTAGATTATCCAATAAATATCAAAATAATGTGAAACGTCATAAAATTTTATGAAAAATAATAATGCCTCAATTAAATTTGAAATTTGTTATGTTATTTAAATTTTATATCTTCTTGCTGCTGTTGCCATTTTGATAATAATAGTATTACGTTACAATTGTAACATCAGAAAATGAAGAGAGGTCAAATGTCCGTTGAGTAGTGAAAATAAAAAAAAAATCTATTTTTTCTCAGAAATCGTTTGTTTTATTTCACCAGAAGGCTCAAAGCAGCTGTGAGTTGGGAGGGGTTGTTGTCGGAGTTAAATTACTTCACGCTGTAATGCCTTGGACAGTTTGTGTTTGGTTTTGCTATACGAAAACGGGCACACGCACCAACACATACCCTCACCAAACTTTGGGTTATTAAAATAGGAAAATTAAAAAGAAACAATTTACAGAAATAAACAAGGAAAATATTGTGTAGAACTTTTTAATGAGTTTGTAATTATGATGCTTAACTGTAACGCAAATTATGATGAACATTTGCAGGCATTGATGCCATTTATATATAGATATATGTTTTTTTTTTTTTTTTTTTTGAATTTCATCACCATAGCTAAGCTGTTTTTTCGTGGTATTTTTAATGAATATGTATGAACTTACGTTTGTTGGTTACTGGACAAAAGAACAGTTGAAGGTGTATCAAATGCTGTTGAACGTTAAGATATATAATTAAAATCTTTTAGTAGATTTAATGGAAGTATAAATAGAGGATGACATTTTTTATAAATTGAAACGTAATTAAATTTGAAAAAAAACCTGTAAAATATTACAAATTAACACCCATGAACGAAAGAGTATATTCGGTCAGGGCCGACCATATTATACAACTACCACTGAACTTTAACTGTCTGCAGATCTATAGGCTGGTCAATAATTCGCTGTATTTGCACTCTCTGATGTGATGATGGTAATAAAAAAAAAACACTACTAAAATATGTACACCCTTAACCAAACCGAAATTAGGTGCAAAATTTCGTTATGGTTGGCCCATAACTGAGGTCCGAACTATGTATAAAAAGTATAATTGACAGTCGGGCGGATTCACATGTCTAGATCGACTCAGTGGAAATATGAGAATCAAAGAATCAATATTTTGCGGCGTTTCAAACTTTTGAGGTCACACAAAGTTATA